TGACTAGCTTTGAGTTTCAAATTCTTTAACATGCTATGCTTGAGTTGTTTGCATGTTTTGGCATCATTTCACACATGATTTCAGTGCTTGTGGCTTAGTTACACTCGCACATATTCCACTCTTTCATCACTTTGGAGAGATATGCTTTGTGCCTTGTTTATAAACCAATACATGAGCATGATTTTCTTGATTTTCATGCTACCATCTCAGCACATGTTGGTCACTGTTTTGGCATGTTTGAGGTCTGTCCATAGCTGGTTTGACTATTTGAGCATTGTATTGCATGGTTCTAGTGTAAAACTCTTCACTAGTTTTAATGCTTAAGTCTCTTAACATGTACATGAGTTGTTTGCATGTTAGAATCTTGTGTTTCATGCCATTTCATCACTGAAATTCTACCACCTCCCTCACTTCTTCATCTTTTGATTTGTTTTGAGGATTGGTTAGTCTTAAAGTTGTGTTTAAGCCATGGGATTGAGGCTTATGCTTAAATGGCTTTAACCCTCTTTTGAGGGTTCCTCCTAGTCAAAGGCATGGTCTCTCCCATGCCTTAAGTCATCTTTTGATTGACCTCTCTCTCATTAGAGGACTTTCACATTGGACAAATCAATTAAAGAATGGCTTGGTAACTTAAAATGTGTAAACAAGAATTGAATCAAGTAAAACATGCCAAGATAAGCAAGTTGTTTTTGCATTGCATTGTGTTCAATCGGACGTTATATTGAACACAAGGTAGATTGGTCCATTTCATACTTGAAGTGATGAAATGAGCCAATCTCCTTTGTCTCCATTGCCTTTGATCTCTCATGATAAAGTAATGGACTTGTGTCTTGTTTGTCTTGCATTTATTGAATTTTTGCAAGTTGGATCCTTGGCCATCATGCATTGAAAATGCTTGATTGGTGGTCTTGGATTCAATGGTGCCTCTCCCTTGATGTTTTGAGATGATGAGAGGCACAGTACACACATACCCTTGGGAGACCCTCCATTTTCCTCTATTTTGTGCTCTACTGCAGTTTGGTGTCACAGCACACCAGTGGCCGGCAGTTCTTCCTTGTTGGCCGGCACCCCTTTACTGTTGGCCGACAGAAGCACACTCTTGGCCGGAAAATGGCCGGCAGAAGCTCTTCATGGCCGGCAGGCCACTGGTGAATTCCTTAGCATGGAATTGGTAAGGCAGAGCAGAAAGTTCTTGGGGACAGCCTGCAAACAGAGCCTCTCAAGAACAAACCGGAAGGTGTTTCGAGGTGGCAACCGGGCGCATGCATATTCTCATTCCTAAGGTAGAGCTGAGGCAGCCTAATTTAAATATCATGCATGTTTAGTTGGTTTTGTAATTTAATTAGTGTGCTAATTAAGTTGATTATTGTAATAATTAGTAAGTAATTTGCTAGTTATTCGTTTGGTTTGTAATAATTAGTCTAATTAGTTTAACTAGATTAGTTAGCTTAGCTTAGCTTAGAGTAGCTTAGCTCATTTATTCGGACCCTCCGTCGCGAGGGCATAATGTTGTAATAAGCGTGCGTGTGTGTGTACATGTCTTCCAACCCCATTTCTTTCTCCCTTTTATTTATTCGCTTTCAGTGGTTAGATTAGGGCATGTTTTGATTAGCATACCTTATGCTTGTATAATTGCATCATTCGTTTGTATTGCATGCACTGAGGCTCGGCGCATCATTCAAACTGCATCGTATTTTCAATACTTACTTGAATACGTGTTTCAAGAGTATGTTATCAAGTGTTGCATTCATATGCCATCTTAGATAGCCGAGCCTATTTAATTGCATTAGGCATCTTAACATAGTTAAGATCATGCATGATTTCTAACTAGTTTTCTATTTTGGCTTGGAGTACTCGATGAGTCTTTACGCTTTAGCATACTTGTATGAGTGTGAGTGTTGCCATAAGAGCATGCTTTCCATGAGGTTATTTGCTTCATTGATTAACTGCATGAATGCTTGTGGATGAAGGCTTGATTGCTTGAATTGGAACAATTCATCAAATGTGAGTTTTAAGCCCACTTTGCGAAGTGACAAATCATGTTTTAAGCACACTTGATGGTGGCAAATCCGCGCTTTAGCCTACTTGCGAGTAGCACTTTCAAACTATTTTCGAAAAACAAACATGAATTGTTTTGTTCTAATTCTCGTGATTAAGTCTATACTTGTATGCTGTGCGCATCACATAGTAAGTTAGTTAATAACCGGAACAAGAACACATGTGTTTATCAAACAACATATCATGTTTAGTAGAGGCCGATCTTTGATCGGGCAAGCGGGAGTGCTCATTTCAGGACCTTCCCCTCTCGTACCCAAGTTCTCGAACCGAGGCAACATTGGTGATGACGGACACGTAACTTTTGGCACGAGTCAGGGTTTCCTAAATTTTTCAAAAACAAAACATTTAAGTGGCGACTCTATAATTTGGCAAAGTAGTCCATGTTTGGCGCTTTTTGATTCAAATTTGATTTTCCAAAACCAATTGCCAGATTTGGATTCTTTGGTGTTTATCAGTCTCACATTGCACTTTGTGAGGTTAGATTCAGAACCGTGACAGGAGTCCGAGCTGTAGGACAACCAATTCGCGCCCTCTCCGAAAGGGGGGCACGTGAAGAAAGTCAGGTGCTACAGTAGGGCGAGGGTGGATTATGTTTCAGTCACCTGCAAAGGGTGCGGGCGGGGGCAGGGGCGAGTATTGCCTCTCTCGATCCGATATAATAAATAATATATATGTATATATAATGTAATTAGATATAAGAAAAAGAATATTAAAATTCTGTTGTTTTGTTTAAATATAAATAAATAACAATCCTAAAAGTTTCACTGTTTGTATACATGGAAACAAGGAAAATTCTTTAATGTGTTAAAGATTTAAATGGTTCTCCATTTTTTTGGCTATTTGAAATGTGGTCGGATACCCGCAGGGGCGGGGAATGACAAACTTGCCTCGTGGCCATCCTTATCTGGTACGTTCTTAGTTAACAAAATCTTGCTAAATAACCTAGTCAACCAAGCAACCCCCTTCTTACCCAAACACTTCCAAGCTTCAATAGGGATATCATTAGGTCTTAAAGCCTTATTCGATTTCATCTTCTTAAGTGCAATGTTTATTTCAAAGTTCCTAATCCTGCGATAGAACCTATAGTCTTGGTTTTCCTTATTATTGGTGACTTCTTCCCATATTAATGTACCTCCATATTCCTCTGCTAACAGTTTCTCAAAATGGTTCTTCCACCTCTCATTAATCTCTTCATCCTTCACCAATACCTTAGAATCCTCACTCTTGATGCACTTAACCTAATTCAAATCTCTTATTTTCATCTCTCTTATCTTAGCAAGTTTGTATATCCTTTTATCTCTCTTTACTATCTAGTCTACTGTGTACACAAAGTCTACCTTAAAATTTCAACACGCCATTGTCAAATACAAATCTTGGCCTCGGTTTTGAGTTAATTTCATCCACAATCTTCTTCAAATATTCATCTTGTATTTGTTTTTCTTTAGCTACTTCAATGATTGCAGGTTGGGCAGACATGGCAGCTAGAATTCCGCCCTGTTCGTGCATCATAATTTCAATCTCATTTCTTTCTAGGTCGTATAACAAGTCCTTTTGACCGGTGAACAAAAATGATAAATTCCTGATTGCGTTTCTACTTAATGCATCTGCCACCATATTTGTCTTTCCCGGATGGTATAGAATTTGCAAGCCATAATCTTTGATCAACTTGAGCCAGCGTCTCTATCTCATATTCAATTCTTTCTGAGTGAAGAAATATTTCAAGCTTTTATGGTTGGTATACACTTCACAAGGCACCCCATATAGATAATGTCACCAAATTTTCAATACAAACACCACAGCTACTAATTCAAGGTCATGGTTCGGATAGTTCTTTTCATGTGGTCGGAGTTGTCGAGAAGCATAAGCAATCACTTTCCCATTTTGCATTAACACACACCCCAAACTTTTGTACAAAGCATCACTATAAATTTGAAACCCATCAGTTCTATTAGGCAACATCAGAATAGGTGCAGTTACCAATCGAGTCTTCAATTTTGGGATGGCTGACTCCCGTTGATTAGTCCAATCAAATGGTATATTCTTCTGAGTCAACTGTGTCAATGGCATGGCAGGTTTAGAGAAGTCTCTTACAAATCTGCGATAATAGCTAGCAAGTCCTAGAAAACTCTTAACTTCGGATACGTTAGTTGGTCTTGGCCAGTTCACAATAGCCTCAATTTTCTGTGGATCAACTGATATGCCATCTTTATTGATTACATGCCTTAAAAATGCTACACTATCAAGCCAAAATTCACATTTGGAGAGTTTTGCATACAACTTCTTTTCTCTTAGAATCTGTAAGGCAGTTCTCAAATGATTTTCATGTTCTTCCTTGCTTTTGGAGTAAATCAGTATATCATCAATAAATACAATTATGAATTCATCAAGAAATTGTTTGAAAACTATATTCATTAGGTCCATAAACGCTGCAGGTGCATTAGTTACCCCAAATGGCATTACCAAAAATTCATAGTGCCCGTATCTAGTCCTGAATGTAGTTTTCTATATGTCTTCTGCCTTAACTTTCAACTAGTGATACCCGGATCTAAGATCTATCTTAGAGAACACTTGTGCTCCCTGAAGTTGGGAACATATCAACTATTCAGGGCAATGGGTATTTATTCTTAATGGTTACTTTGTTCAGTTCTCTGTAATCTATACACAGTCTTAACGATCCATCCTTCTTCTTTACAAATAGGATTGGAGCACCTCAAGGTGAAGTGCTCGGGCAGATAAATTTCTTGTCTAACAGTTCCTGAAATTGAGTTTTCAATTCCTTCAATTCGGAAGGTGACAGTCTATATAGGGTTTTGGAAATTGGTTGTGTTCTGGGTATCACATCAATGGTGAATTCAATCTCTCTATCAATCAGATCTCCAGGTAGTTCATTAGGAAACACATCAAGAAACTCGTTAACTACAGGGATGTTTTTGACATTAGCATTATCCATTTTTATATTCCAAACACAACATAGGTAACCTCGACATTCGCAGCAATTTACTGGCTTTCATAAAAGAGATCACATACGGTAGAGGAACTACCCCATTTCCAGCAAACACAAATTCTGGTAACCCAGGTGGACGAAATACAACAAATTTACTCACACAATCAATAGATGCACAGTGCTTCGTTAACCAATCCATACCCAATATACAATTCAAATGATCAATTCCCAAAGGCAATAAATCAACATATAATGTCATGCCACCAATCACAATGTCACGTGCTGGATAAACATACGCGCATACCATAGAACCTCCAAATGGTGTAGATACAAATAACAAATAATTCATAGGTTCTAGTGGTCTAGTCAGTTTTCGAGAGAAAGCATGCGATACGAAAGAAGGCATAGAACTAGAATCTATTAGTACACATGCATTTTGAGCACAAACAGGGAGTATACCTGACACCACAGCTTTACTGTTTTGCACATCACCAGGCACTAATGCAAAAACTAGGCCTTGTCTCAAGGTTTCTCTCCCGGTGTTAGCTCTCATATTTGTTCTAGCTACAAAAGCAGATCCGGCTAAACTTACTGCAGGACGGTTGGCATTATCAGATCTAAGTGGGCAATCTCTCTCTACATGGCCTGTCTTGCCACATCGAAAACAGGCACCAAATGCACGGTAGCATACACCCCTATGTTTCCTTCCACGATTAGAACAAACTGGTATAGACCTACTACTCTGACTTGAGCTACTTGTAGATCCCATGTTTTACTTTTTATTTATAAAAGAATGGCCCTTCCTGAAACTGTACCCAGACCTTTTACACCTCCATTCTATTGTTGGTGCTTTAGCTTGTTTCTTTGCTGCTAGATTGGCTTCTGCCATCAATGCTCTATCAAATACTTCCACATATGTAGGTAACTTCAGCATGCCTACCTAATCAAACACATCCAAATCCAATCGTCCCTTAAATTTCTGAGCCTTCTTATAGTCCATATCCACCACATAAGGAGCAAATCGAGCTAATTCTTTGAATTTAGTCTCGTACTCGGCTACAGACATGTTACCTTGCTTGAGTTCTAGGAATTCGGAAACCTTTTGGTCCCAGAAGTACTGAGGAAAGTACTTGTTGTGGAAGATCTCGTTGAATTGAGTCCATATCATGTTCTCATTATTAGTTCGGATTAACAACCACCATCTTCGGGCTTCATTTTTAGAGTATAGGTGGCCAAAAGAACCTTCTGCGTCACGGAGCAAGGAAATATTTTAAATAGTTTCTCCATTTCAAGTAACTACGTCTCTGCCTGAAAGGGTTCAATACCACCCAAGAAGGTTTGTGGTTTCATCTTCATGAACTTCTGAGTCAGGTTGATTATATCATTGTTATCTAGCTCATTTTGTACTGGCAAAGACAAAGAAGGCAAAGATTGTTGTCTTTGCTGCTGTATCATTGCTTCCGTTAGTGCTGCGAGCATTTGTTCCATTCAGCTCATACGAGTCTCTAAGGATTCAGTTGTACCATCACTTATTGTATTTTCCATTTGCTATAGGTAAACAGAGCACAAAGGCTAGTTGACAAACCAAAACTCCAAGTCCTCAACTTTGAGCCTGGTTACGCATCTGATCACTTACATACATAAATAATAGAGTGAGCAGAGAAGCCTAGAGAATAATAACAGAGTAAAAGGGTTTAAATGAATGATGTCTAATACCAGATTTAGAAATCAGAATTCAAATTCAGGAACAAATTCATATTCATATACATATTCTTGTTCAAATCATATATAGAAATCGAAGTTCATGTTTAATCATATGCGGTACATCCATTAATGCTAACAGAATAGACACAGAGCAGATACATAACAGATGTAGAACAGATGGTGGTTATGAGTAACCGTTCCATAAAATAACCTCCGGATCTGGGTAACAGATAACATATATGTCGAGCTCCATGATAGAGCCTCCGGTACGGATAACAGATTGCAGACATATTAAGTTCCATAATGGAACCTCCAATACCAGGTAATAACTAACAGATAACACATAATGTTAAGAATGCCATGAATACATTGTCAAAAATTGGACAGTCATTCATTGTACAGAATATATCATTTCAGAAAATAGATCTTATTTCATCACAGAGAAAATAAATAAAGTTAAACATAGCTTTACTAAGTTATTACTCACAAATGGCTCCGAAAGCAGACAGACAGAGCAGACAAATCAGATAACTTACGGCGCGTGACCTACAAACACAGAATAGATTCGCATTGAAACACACGCCCAAAATTCGTTAACTTAGTTCTTTCTTATCTTGGTATATTTCTAACCCCTTATCCTCATTATTATGTCTTAACCATGGCCTAAGAATGCCTATGATGCAATGAGGATGCTAAAACATGTTGTTAAACACTTAATCAAATTTGCTGAAAACAGGGCCTTAGCTCGAACGCAGCTTCCTTCCCTTGAGCAGAGATTCAAACATAACGCTTGAGCGCAACATCGATCACTCGAGCAGTCTGTAAACTCTGTAAAAGTACTGGTTGTGTGAATTTTCTACTCAATGTTCGCTCGACGGTCGCTCGAGTGTAAGACTAAGGTCCTTGCCCGAGCGCAACTCTTGTCATTCAAGTGGTCTGCAAAAAAAATGGTAAACTTCTAGGAGCATGCATTTTACGCTCGAGCCAACTTTTGGTCGCTCGAGCGAAAGTGCAAACTACAGAATGGTCGCTCGAGCGTAGGATCTGTCGCTCAAGCGTAGAGGCAGAATTCTAGGATTTCTAAATTTGTTTCCCAAGTTGAAAACTTATCTTTAACCTTCCAAAATGCATCCTTTTGAGCCTAAAGTTGAGAAAACATACATAAACTCAAAAAAGTTCATGAATTGAAGACAATTTCGTAAAATTAAGGCCCCAAAAGCATGTGAATTGCTCAAATTCAAACTTGAAATGTTGAAAACATAGCATTACATATCATGCATGTAAAGATACAAGTTCAAACCTTTCAAAACATGATCAAATGAGGTGCTTAAGTTAAAAACATGTTGAATTCTTAGAACAAAGCCAAAATGAGGACATGCAAGAGGAAATTCTTGGAATTCAACTTCAAAATCATGAGAATTATGCATACATGCATGATTCACTCCCATAACCATCTATCTAAGCCTCAGTCTTGCATTACACAACTTAATTCTTTGAATTGAAGTGTTAAAAGGTTGAATTCTTACCTTAGATGATCGATGATGCTCTAAATGATCAATTGTTTAAAGTTCCAAGCCAAAAACCTCCAAGTTCTTCTCTTTCTCTCACTTCTCAATTTTCCTAATTGAGTTCAAACTCCTCTTCTTTCTCTCTCCCACGTTTTTTATGGTAAAAGATGGTGAAGTGTGTATGTGTAGTGGTGGTATGAGGCAATTTATGGCTTATATAGATATCATTACTGAGATTAATTAATTCTTGCTCAGATTAAACAAATTCTCTTTTTTTTTTAAATATTTGGTTCCGAATCGAATTTCAATTAAACCTACCATAAAATTCTAAAAATCCTAAATGCCACGTATACTGAATCAATTTCGACATCGGATGCCAATTAGGCCTTTAATTCGCAGAACAAAAGAGAAATGCAAATAGATATTTCTACCATGGACAGATACAATGCAAAGCGCACACATAACACATAGTTAATCACATAATTTCATCTTAGATACTTATTAGACATTCTTAATCATGGTTTATACGTTAATCATGAGTTGGAGTTGTTACAGCTCACGACCTAGGTTTTTTGCAGAATGAGAAATCTTTACGACATAGTGCCCGTAGCCACAAGCACATATAGGGCTTGGTTATGTTGATGTGGCAGTTGACATAAATGAGGCCATGGTTTCGTTGGTGACTTGTTTCAGGACATAAGAAGTACAACAATAATAGGTCAATGGGTGTGACACTTTTATTATGGACATCATTTTCTTGTGTTAACGAGTTTGTGTTATAAGGATATGAGAACATGTGCCATGAAACAGGGTATGAAGATCCTTATACCAAATAGGGTATGAAAAGAAAAAAAAGACCCCTTACAAAACATTAAAATCCCAGCCTACAAGCAATGATTGTCAAGAGACAAGATATGGTAACCAACAAGTGGACATCCTTTTCAAAAACATTAATGAATCTTTTCATGCCAAAAAAATTGCATGGACGGTAGGAACAGACACAGATAACTAATACAGCCCCAAAAACCAGAAATAGATATGGAAACAAAACCAACCTAAACACTAAAGAAACGGACTGTTCATACATTCCATTAAAGAAACAGATATGTCAAAAAATAGAACACAAACATTAAAGAATAAAAGACCCCCCACAACTTAAACAAGTACTACAAAATTTGCAAAAAAATATTGCTATGGACTGTAGAAACAGAAACAAAAAATTTGATCTACTGAATAACTTTTAAACAGGGTAGGAACAAAAAGAACCAAAAACATTAAAGCCAAAAAGGTGCACCAAAAAATTTGCAGATCTATAGACTATATAACAAAAGATTTTGGAGTTACAAAATTAAAACAATATAGATAACTAACACTGCCCGAAAAGAAATCACAATAATCTTTATTCATAATTTTATGTCCATTTCAACAGATTTGAAGAGGTTATATTGGATTAGGAGTCCTGTGGCCATGAAAATTTGCACAACCTTCGACAGTAGTTTTTTTTTTTTTTTGTGTTTTTTTTTTTTTTTTTTTAAAAAAAACATTTTTACAAGTCATCAAATGTGGAATAGTTGGGAAATGAACACAAATTCGTCAGGTACACTACCAAGGCAAAATTCATGGCAAAAAACTAGAAATGAGAAATTTTTTAAGTATCCTACAACCACAAATGTGTATAAAACTATTGCATGAAAAAAAAAATATTACTCTTTTCATGAAAAAACCACCCCAAAATGAACCCTAGATCCGCCATTAAAACGTCTTGTAATATATATATGACTTCACCATATCACAAAAAATCACATTTGCAAGACAACCGAGAAGGTGCAAATGCAGATTGAAGAAAAAGCTAAAATTAAATTAAATTAACGCCCAAAACACAAAGACAGTGGCTAACATTTTAGTAACCCACGCATCTGGGAAAAACATTTGCACTCCATTCACCATGCTTGCAGCCTCATCAACAGTGACCAAATGACCTTATAACCACTCTATTTTTCAAATTTCAGAAAGATTTCCAAAAAAAAGAAGAAAAAAAAAACTACTAGAAATCGTTAACTGGAAAACCTTTGGGTAAATTGGAGGGAAGAAGAGCATACCTGCGGTTGGGGTGTTCGTCGAAGGATGGCTTAAGTTTCCGTTTGCCTTCACCGGCTATTTTCATCAGTTGCTTCCTCTTCCCTTAAAAGCTTGTGTGGTTTTGTTGCCTTGAACGAAGGCCAGGCCTCTCTTTATTCATCTTGTTTGATGTAATTAGTCTTCAGCTCAGAGAACAGGCTATCAGTCCATCACTTGCAGGTTTTGACATAAAGGAGGGGTTCGTTCAAAAACAATTTTTTTTTTTTTAAAAAAAAAAAAAACCATAAAGGAGAGGTAAAAATGTCATTTTACCTCTCCTCTACCATAAACCACGTGATTTCAACTATGCATAAGTTTGTAGAATAAAATGGTAGGATTTTTTATTTTTTTAGTGACTTTTTAATTCTTAGGCTAAAATAGTTGCATGCCAAACGAGGCCTTAGAGATGTTGGCATGAAAATAGGGGCCAGGGAGGATC